TAACCTTATTTCTATATTGAGATAAATATTTTCCAAATAAGGTCTATTTCTTATAACTAATCGTGGTTCTCTTTAAAATAAGATCCTAATGTTTTAAGGGCAGTTTGATATTTTACTCTTGCTTTAAATAAACTATTACTTCACAATGGACCAAGATTTCTGAAAGACTCTCTACCGCCCCCTACCTGTCACAGTTTTCACTCCTGCTGTCATGTTAGGTCTTTGTGTCGTTTTCTGCTATGAGAACTGATTTGTTTTCTGTTTTCACTTGGAGTTTTTTTAATCTTCTGTTGTGTTCATTCACCTGCTGCTGCAGCTGCTGCAGCCTCTGCTTTTGCTTTACTAATTCTTAAATAAATACATTCAAAACAGCAGCATCTTTCCTGTATTTTTTCAAAAAATGAGGAATTTTAGCTAAACCTATGAACATAAATTTTTAAAGTATGAAATGTTATAAATATTTCATGGGCTGTATAACGATTCTTACAGCTTTTCTCTGAAGCAGGAAGTCGAGTTTGTCTTGGTTTTTAGCAGTTTCTATAGATCACTGCATGAAATTTAATGTATGGGAATATCGCCCAACAGTATAACATTTCTTTTAGAAAATATTCTATTTAATATTGATATTGTTGACATAAAATTTTAGTTTTAATCGGCCAATATGTGCCTGAACATGAGCTGAGGAGGAAATAAAGATCTAAAGAAATCCCACACAAAGAAAACTGAACACAAAGGAATGAGCTGAAAAACAAAAACCATGGGCGGTTCTAGACAGGGACCATCAGGGGCCACGGCCCCTAAAGAACAGGTCCGGGCCCCTGCTGTGTCCCCTGCACTTAAGAACAATTAAATCAATTTCTTATGGTTTGCGTTGGCACAGAACTTGGACTAAATTTGTGTTTTATCCAGTTTTACTTTAACAGTGAATTAAATCAAAGTATTACCGCATTATAATCAAATCACAGTTTTATCTGCTAGTTCAGAATCTGCAACAATAGGTTTGCATATTAAACATTAAAATATTCACCTGTTTGTTTAATAAGTGTTGCATGTCGAAGGCTGGGCAGCATTATTAGCATCAATGCAGCCAAATAAGGTCAATTTCCCCAGCAGGTTTTTGCTTTTCCACACACATGTAAAGGTACGTAGACAGAGAGATGGCTCCGGTCCTGCAGCTGTCAGCTTGCATTTCGGGTCAGCAGCTAATCTCCTGAACTTGCTGTAAGCCTCCAGTAGAGTTACCCACAATGCAACAGGGAGCGACAGCAGCAGGTGGCGGCGGCACAATCCCATCCTGCTGGCCAAATGTCACACTGACATAGAGACGGCACTACGATGGGTGGCGCTCGTTCAGATGGGCTCCCCGTGACAGAGCCGTCTCCATGTCAACCTGATCAACTTCAGTCTTTGTAAAGCAGCATCCATGTTGTTTTTATCGCCTGACAAGAACAACCCGGATCATCCTTGACCCAAACCTGTTACACAACGCTGATGCGTTGCATCCAGGCTGGCGCCCTCTAATCCCTGGCACCTCTGCTGAATCCCAGCCAGCAGCCAGCAGCCAGCAGCCAGCAGCCAGCAGCCAGCAGCCAGCAGCCAGCTGTGGAGCCGACAAGCAAAACACCGGACGCCGATCCACCGGAGAGCAGCCTCGGACCCTCAGCAACAGTCACAGTGCTGAACAACAAGCCAATAACAATACGACCCCCAGGAGGTACATGAGTCTGGACATCAACAGAAGAAAACCTCTGATAGAATCTTCAATAATTTCACAATCTGGGGACGAAGGCAGAGGAAAAGCTTTAACCTGTCAGACATTTTCTCACACAAACCAAAGCTTGCTTTCTTCATAAACAAGAACTCAGGTTATTTTCTGCAAGTCTGATGTAAAAACAGAAATAAAAGTATATTAAATCCTCTCTAGATTTTTACCTCAAAATGCTCTGGAGTAACAAGTGAGCTGTTAATAATAGTAATCATAAGCTGAGTAGAACAGAAGAAATTAATAAAAATGTGATCAATTCAACACTTAACAGTCATTTTTACTCAGTTTATTACTCAGATTTTTCATGTTTTGATTTATGTCTCATTAGACAATCATTAAGTCTTTAACTGCACAAACTCTAAAGTCGCTGAATTTTAACATAGAAGCTGAAACCAACAGTGTTACATTTTTTCATAAAAACTCTGCAGGAAGTTTAAAAACATTAAATCAATGAAATCAAATCCAAATCAATCAAATTTGCAGCCAGCATCATTGAGCTAATTAAACATTTATTTAGCCTGCATCACATGCAGGACCAGACTTCCTCTAGGTTAAGTAAATAAACTGGTTACGTTTTGATCATATTAACTCTTATTTATTGATCTATTAGATTTCAGAAAGATCTAATAAAAGCACAAACTGATGCCAGATCTGAAGCTTCTATAAAACTAAACCTGCTGTAGATTGTGAAACTGCTCTGACCTTCAGTACAAACAGTTTGTGAGAAAATAATATTGGATTTTTAAAATGGTACAGAACGAAGCTGAAGGCTCTGGGGGATTCAAACTCTTTGAAACCAGCTTTTCAACATTTATCCATTCAGCCTCTACCTGCTTGTCCTCACAGGGGGAACTGGAAGCCATTGGAAGAGGTCAGAGGTCACTGACCCCTCACAGGGGAACAGAGACACACAACCAAACTCCACACAGAAAGGCAAAGGCCAGGATTTGAACTCAAAGGTTTTTTTCTGCAAGGCAATAGAGCAACGCTGCAAAACACAGAATCTTACCAACTATATTTAGTTAGTTTCTAAGTAGACTTCAAATAAAATAAAACTAAGAAATAAGTTTTTAACTTTTTAGAGTTTGTTTTAATCAAAATGAATTCATATCAATGTGAAACAGAACTAGTTCCCTATGGGAGACATTTCTCCCATGTGAAAAAGTCTGGCAGTTGAATCCATGCACTCTAATATTTACACTAGAAACAAAACAAAAATGCTTCATTTTGTGTTTTTGCAGGTCACCATGCAGCCCTAACTTTTATCTTTAGAAATATATTCTGTTCTGTAATTTAAAATCACAATGAAACTTTTCTGTCCTGCTCAATATTTGGATGTAAATGTGTGAACTTTTCAAGTTATGAACACAATGTAATGAAAGAGCAGTAAACTCAGCAGCAGAAACAGGGACAGAATGAAACTCTGAAGAGGATCGACTGAAGAGTTGCTAAAAACCAGCAGGATTCTCTAATGAATCCTGCTGAAGAAACTTGAAAACGTTGATTCCTCCTGATTCTATCCAAAAACATCTTTATCTTCTGCCTTTCATAGCTTTTATTGGTCAATCTGGACAGTTCAATGCGGGGCTGCTGTGATGATACACATTAGCTTGGTGGCTACTGATTAGTGCGGAGTATCTGCCTCAGCTGCTGAAACAAAGCAGGTCAGGCTGGCCTTCCTTCAAACTGCAAAAGCTTTGCATGATGGAGTTTTTACCTCCTCCAGGTTATTATATTCACACATGGAAACAACAAAACGAGTTTGCTTTCTGCACTCTGTGTCCTGATCCAGCTGAAGGAAACTAACTCAATTCTCCCTGCAGTCGAGTTTCTGTCCGTCCAGCAGTTACACGTCTTCCATCTACCGGATCACGTAATTCCAATTTGGAGTCACATTCATCCAGTTAGACCTTCCTTCATGTGATGTCAACATGATCAGCTTTATGTTTCAATCAAGGTGTTTGGATCTGTTTCACTGAAGAACCAGGCATTGACCTTCAGTATGCATTTATATTTAATACGAGTATTTTAGTGACACATTTGGGTTTTTTCTGAGCCAATCAAAATGTACAAAAGTCTGACTGTATTTTTGACTCTTCCTGCTCTTTGTCCGGAGGTTGAATCCTGTCTTACCTGCTGGTCAAGCTGCGCCACACATGAGCTCCTGTGGGAGGAAAAATCAGAATTTACATTCAGCTCTGAACCCAAATGGCACTTTACAATCTAACTACCTACAATACATCAATGTTGTTTTTCATCAGTGACACCTAAAGGAAAAATGACCAAAAACAATAAAAGTAACATGATGAGAAAATCAACCTAAAACACATTTAACCAGGTAATCTGTTAAGAAGCTACAGACTTTTAGCTCTTATATCTGAACTAAATGCAGAAGTCATTTTTTCCTCTGCTAAGACGAGAGCATTAGACTCCACAGGTTTCAGTGCCTCACTGTTACTCATCAGGATAAAATGAGGAAACTTTGGATGAAATCATCAAACAGTGGAGGATCCTGTGTTTGGACCTGACTGGAGATGAAACATCTAACCAGAGAAAATGAGTTCAGAATGATTCATTTAAACTTTTATCACCTTTAAAAACAAACTGAGACATAATCCCGTCCAAAACCGGCCCAATTACTGGACCAAGTAATATAAATGTCTGAAACTGAATTATTTCCTAGAATAAATTGACACAGAATATGAATAATGTCAGCATGGAAAACTTGTTTTGAGACATTAAAATTAATAAATATTTTTAGAATATTAAGTACATAGTTGACATACACTAATAATTAAATTAATTTTTTTAAATAAGAAAATGAACATTTTATTTTCTAAAATACAGCTGCAGCAAAAGATGCTCAACAGGAGATTTATCTTCCTGAATTTGAACCAGGCAGAGCTGAAGATTTAGAACAGATTTACAGACCAGGAAACTCTGAAAAAGTCTTAAATTAAAAACATTGTGTTCAGTTTTGGCTTAATTTATGTATGATTTTTCTGAAACACCTTTTTAATCTTTTTAATCTTTTTTCTGAAACAACCTTTTTGAGTCTTTTAATGTCTCAAAAGATAGAACAATAATGAAGTGTAAGTGTGCAGGCAATCGACGGAAGAAATAAACCTTTGGTTCTGGTCCAAACAGCATCTCTGGCGGTTATCGTGACGACCAACAGAACCAACAGGATGGAAATAAGGCTGTAGATCCGAAAAGAGCTGAAGGCAACAAACCT